AGAAGGCTGGCAGTTCAAACCCACCAGCCACTCCTCGGAAGGAAGATGGGGCAATCTACTTCCATAGTGATACTGCCTCAGAAACCCAAGGAGGGGATGCTATGAGTCGGAATCGACTCGACAGCAGTAAGTTTGGTTTTTTGGTTTACTATACAGGATGCTCAGAAATACTTAAACTGAACATAACCCACTTTGTTATATTATGTAAGAAAACATTCTTACAGATTGCATATGGCTTCACTCATAAAAAGTCAATTATGACTAATTCTTTAATCTTTTAAGTTTATTTTCTATTGGGAATGGGCAATTAAGTATGTCAGGAATTTTACAGGTAAAGAAAATTAACTTCCATGGACAAACGAAATGCCAGAAACACCTGACCTACAAAGGAATTGCTGGTTTGGTATAAGAATCCCCAGCATGTTCACCTGACCTTTGACACAGCGTGTCTGGTACTTTCAGCGATCTCTTCCTCAAAACCACAAGTGCACTGAAAGGTTCTAAAATGATCATTTTCTTCCTTCAAATACTGCATCCACACATAAATACTTCAAGAAAGAAATCCACTTAGGTTTTCTATGCACTAGAGGATTTAAAAGCCCTTGCCAAGGTGGGTATTAAAGGGAAGAGATGTAGCAGGTTAGGTGGTGGTGCCGGGTGGGGGGACAAAGGCAGGAGAGGGCTCTTGAACCCTCCTCTATCGAGACCAGGAACTGCTCTCTCCTTCTGTCTCCCTACCTCCTATTCTAAATTAGAGAAGCAATGATTTATGGCAACAGAAAGCAAAGAAAACCCTAAATACAAGCACTACCTTACACCACTTGAAATCTTGTCTCTTGATTTATTTTTCTTTTACTCTAAAAATATTTTTTAGGACCCTGACAAACTATTAGGAAGGAAAATACGATGTTTAGCTTGCTGGTGAGAAGTGAATGAAAGCTGAGAATGCTAGTGGCCCGAGGACTGTTTCTGGCCCCTCTTTAACTCTCCAGCCCACTCCTTGATTTTTTGAAAGATGAAACATATGTGTAACCAGGACATAAGTAATGGCTGGCAGATTACAGTGGCACATAAGCATGGTGCTTGCTATTTAAGGCAAGAACATTCAAAGTTACCCCCCCCATATGCACTGGGAGAGACATACTGCACCAAACGCTACAGCGAGCATGGTCTGCATGCGGACGTCATCCAGGGTGCTCAAGAGCCCTGTTTTGCTCAGAAGAGCCCTTCCCGCCAGGGTCCAGAACTTCACATGTTTCACTCCCACAGAGACAAACTGGCTATCTGAATCTGGTCTGAATTCTGCCACAAAAATACGTTGGTTGTGACCAGCTCTGTTGGCAATTTTGTCACCTGGTAAAGAAAATACAGGAAAATAATCTAGGTTAGTAGAAGTAAGGTAATTTTCACAGATCAAATAGTTATTTAAAACACATAGTTCAGAAACACCAATGTGTTTAAGAAGATGAAGGTCCTGTCCTTGCCCTGCTACCTGGCAATCACATGATACTCAGATACTTGTGTAGAGGGTCCTTTTCACTTGTCTTCGTCAGTGAGTGCACTCTGGAAAACTGCAGTGCCATTTAAGAGCCATTTGTGATTTTAGGGACCATAGCCTTTTTTCCATGTAGGTCCATGAACTTCATTTTATGAAATATTTTGTCTAGAGCATGTTAAGTAATATTAACCTATTCATTTTCCATTAGCATATAATATATACTTCATTTTCATTCTTGGTTAAGGTCTTCCCCTACCCTAATCAGTCAGATCATTAGTAGTTAGCAAAGAAATTTAAGTAGTTTCTTACTGAAAAAAAAAAAAGAAGTAAATTATTTATACTGCTGGTAACTTTCATTATACCTGCTTTGTGAGCTTACATTTTCACTGGAGTTTTCAAATGGAACATTCTTACAGTACCCCCAACTGTGTACTGTGTAGGGCTGTAGTGAATCATGGTTTCAATCCTCAACTTAAATGTAAAATACAGAATAAATATCATCTTAGTATTTGTATTTTAAAAATCACAAAGGAAAAAGAATCCTACCTTCCTGCCACCTCCAAATGGTAACAGTATGCTCTGGGTCTAGTCCCACAGACAGTAATAATTTGCCAGTTGCACTGAAGCTGACCGAGCACACTCCCTTTGAGTGGTAGCATCTCAGGATCGATAAAGTCTGCTTGTTCATCGCATCCCAGATGTGGATGGAAGGGGCTGTAGCTAAATAAAGATAAAACCCAGAAGTTGTAACACACTTGTTAGAAATGTTCCTATTTCTGAGGCTAATATATACTCATCTCTTAAACCTGGAAAAATAGATACCAAAGAAAGACTATGTACTTAATACAGAACAGTTCAAAAGTAGGACTAAATTAAAAGAAGAAAAGGAAGGGGAGGGGAGGGAAGGACACACACATAAAATAAAGAATACTCCTAAATGCTATCTATTACATTGTAGTTTTGGAAAAAAAGACAAGCAAATCAGCCAATCACATCTTTGAACACCTCCTCAAAAATAACACGTTTTATATACATTTTTAATCTTTATATAATTATGTGGCAAACCATACAAATATTACACAATAAATAAATACCAAGGTACATTCAGTACTGATATTAACAGAAGGAGAGATGAAAAACAGAAATAAGTTGAGAAAGGCAGTAGGTGGGAAGCCAACAAAATAGATCTCTAAAGAAAATTTCAACCATCCCACAGCTGTCTGGTAAAAAGCTAAATTCACATCACTTATAAGAGAGTGGCTTTGTTTTCTTTTAAGAAGCAGGACTTCATAGGAGAAATAAACTTCCCTATCTTTTAAAAAAATATATTTGTTGCTGGCATCTTGTGCTGCCTGTTTCTACTGTTTAAAAAATTCTGAGAGTTCTCGCCATTTTCTAAATTAAAATTTCACAGCTGTATACTGTCCATATTTTATGATTTGTATTCTACAAAAGTGCATATTTAAGTCAATTTGATAATTAATTTGGTCTCAGAATGTAAGTATTTTTAGTAAAATAATAAAAATGTTGTTGTTTTTAGGGGCTGGCAAGTCAGCTCTGATTCATAGTGACCTCATGTACAACAACCCCATGTACAAAACACTGCCCAGTCCTGTCCAGCCTCACAATCCTTCTGATGCTTCATTAGTGTCTCTGTGTCTATTGTAATTCTCACGATATTTAAACTTTTTCATAATTCTATCACACATTTAATAGACCACTCTTGCTCTCTCACTGCCATGAAGTCAATTCTGACTCATAGTGAATCCTGGTGGGTTTCCAAGGCTGTAAATCTTTACATAAGCAGATTGCCTCATCTTTTCTTCTGTGGAGCAGCTGGTAGGTTCAAACCACCAACTTTTTGGTTAGCAGGCAAATGCCTTAACCACTACACCACTTGTTTTTGTTAGGTGCTGTCAAGTCATCTCCGACTCATAGCAAGCGCATGTACAACAGAACAAAACACTGCCCAGTCCTGTGCCAGCCTCATGATCCTTGCTATACCTGAGTGCATTGCTGCAGCACAGTGTCAGTCCATCTTGTTGAGGGCCTTCCCCTTTTTTGTTGACTCTCCACTTTACCAAGCGTGATGTCCTTCTCCAGGGAATGGTCCTTTCTGACAACACGACCAAAGCAGGTGAGATGAAGTCTGGCCATCCTCACTTCCAAGGAGCATTCTGGCTGCACTTCCTCCAGGACAGAACTGGTAGTTCTTCTAGCAGACATGGTACTTTCAGAATTCTTCACCAGCACCACAATTCAAAAGCATCAACTCTTCTTATTCCTTATTCATTGTCCAGCACTCACGTGCATATAAGGCAATTGATAATACCATGGCTTGGGTTAGGCGCACATTAGTCTTCAAGGAGACATCTTTGCTCTTCAGCACTTGAAAGATCTTTTGCAGCAGATTTGCCCAATGCAATACTTCATCTGATGTCTTGACTGCTGCTTCCATTGGTGTTGACTGTAGAACCAAATAATATGGAGTCTTTGACAACTTCAGTCTTTTCTCCATCTATCATGATACTACTTATTGGTCCAGTTGTGAGGATTTTTGTTTTCTTTATATTGAGGAGTAATCTATACTGCAGACTGTAGTCTTTAATCTTCATCAGTAACTGCTTCAAGCCATCCTCACTTTCAGCAAGCAAAGTTGTGTTGTCAGCATATCACAGGTTGTTAATGAGTTTTCTTCCAATCCTGATGCCACTTTCTTCTTCATATAGTCCAGCTTCTCAGCTTATTTGCTCAGCATATAGACTGAATAAGTATGGTGAGAGGTTACAACCCTGACACACTCCCTTCCTCATTTTAAACCATGCAGTATCCCCTTATTCTGTTCAAACGACAGCCTCCTGGTCTATGTACAGGTTCCTCATGAGCACAATTAAGTGTTCTGGAATTCCTATTGCACTCAATGTTATCCATAATTTGTTATGATCCACCCAATCAAATGCTTTTGCATAGTCAATAAAACACAAACATCTTTCTGGTTTTCTTTGCTTTCAGCCAAGATCCATCAAATACCAGCTATGATATCCCTTGTTCACGTCCTCTTCTGAATCCAGTTTGCATTTTTGGAAGTTCTCTGTCAATATACTGCTGTAACTGTTTTTGAATTATCTTCAGTAAGATTTTACTTGCATGTGATATTAATGATACTGTTCGATAATTTCCACATTATGTGGGATCACCTTTCTTTGGAATGGGTGCAAACATGGATGTTTTCCAGTCAGGTAGCTGTCTTCCAAATTTTTTCCAAGGCGTAGACAAGTGAGTGCCTCAGTGCAGCAACCATTTGTTCAAACATCTCAATGGGTATTCTGTCAATTCCTGGAGCCTTGTTTTTTTGCTAATTCCTTCAGTGCAGCTTCGATTTCTTCCTTCAATACCACTACAGCTCCTTAATAAGCTACCAAAGAAAAAATAAAAATAAAAAAACCAAACTCACTGCCATCAAGTCAATTCTGACTCACAGAGACTCCCACTGGGTTTCCAAGGCAGTAAATCTTTACTGCCCCAGCTTCCTTCTGTGGAGAGGCTAGTGGGTTTGAACTATAACCTTCAGGCTAGCAGTCAAATGCCTTAGGCATTGCACCACCAGAGCTCCTTAACAGGCTACAGTATAGTGTAAATGTAACTTTTGTAGAACTGGGAAACAAAAAACATAACAATAAAGTGGACTCACTTCATTGCAATATACACTTTATTGCGGCAGAGGATCTGTACCTACAGTATCTCTTGAGATACACTTGTAAAATGAAATCCATGGCAACTTCAGTCTTTTCTCCATTTATGTTGATGTTGCTTATTGGTCCAGTTGTGAAGATTTTTGTTTTCTTTATGATGAGTTATAATCCATACTGAAAGCTGTAGGCTTTGATCTTCATCAGTAAGTGCTTCAAATCCTCTTGGCTCTCAGTAAGCAATGTTGTGTCATGTGCACATCACAGGTTGTTAATGAGTCTTCCTCCAATTCTGATGCTGCATTCTTCATATAGTCCAGCTTCTCGGATTATTTGCTCAGTATACAGATTGAATAAGTATGATGAAAAGATACATCTCTGATGCACACCTTTCCTGATTTTTGCCACTTAATATTGTTCTGCTAGAACAGCTATAACTTGTTTTATGTACAGATTCCATGTGGGTACAATTACATATTCTGGAATTCCCATTCTTCACAACATCATCCATAATTTGTTACGATCCACACAGTTGAATGCCTTTGCACAGTCAATAAAACACAGGCAATCATCTTTTTGGTATTCTCTGCTTTTGGCCAAGATCCATCTGACATCAGCAATGATAGCCCTTGTTCCATGTTCTTTTCTGAATCTGGCTTGAATTTCTGGCAGTTCCCTGTTGATGTACTGCTGTAAACATTTTTCAATTATCTTCAGCAAAATTTAACTCGCATGTAATATTAGTAATATTATTCAGTAATTACTGTTGGATCACCTTTCTTTGGTATGTGCACAAATATGGATCTGTTCTGGTACATTAGCCAGGTAGCTGTCTTCTAAATTTTCTGGCACAGATGAGTGAACACTTCCAACGCTGCATTCATCTGCTGAAACATCCCAGTTGGTATTCTGTCACTTCCCGGAGCCTTGTTTTTTTGCCAATGCCTTCAATGCAGCTTGGGTTTCTTCCTTCAGTATCATCGATTCTTGATGATGTGCTACCTCCTGAAATGGCTGAACACCAACTGACTCTCTTTGGTAAAGTGTCTCTGCGTATTCTTTCCATCTTATTTTGATGCTTCCTGCATCATTCAATATTTTGCCCACTGAATCCTTCAATATTGCAATTCAAAGCTTGAATTTTTTTCTTCAGTTCTTCCAGCTTGAGAAATACCTAGTGTGTTCTTCCCTTTTGGTTTTCTAAATCCAACTCTTTGCACACTTACTTATAATAATTTACTTTGACTTCTCAAGTTGCTCTTTGAAATCTGTTCAGCTCTTTTACGTCATAATTTCTTCCATTTGCTTTAGCTATTCTCCATTCAAGAGCAAGCTTCTGTCTCTTCTGACACCCATTTTGGTCTTCTCTTTCTTTCCTGTCTTTTTAATGAGCTTTTTCTTTCTTCATGTATGGTAACCCACAACTCATCTGATCTTCAGTCATTAGTGGTCAAATTTGTTACATGTGTTCTTCAGATGTGGAAGGGTTAATACAATCAAATCTTATGTCCTCGGCTAAAAAGGAATGTACACTTCTGAAAATAGCTAACTACCCAACCTTATAATGATTAATGTCTGATTCTTATTAGAAGTTCCAGTCTGGTACTCCTGAAAAGAAGCTGACCACCAAACCCCCTTAACAACTAATGTCTGGTTCTTATCAAAATCTATTCTTGAGTAGGAATTACAGGAAAGAAACAATAAAACAATAATGGCAATATGACCCACATGGAAAGAATAAGCTGACCTTGGGACCAGAGAGAATGATGTTTTCAATTATCAATCAAAGAAATAAGGAACTCTGAAAAAAAGGACTGACTTATACAATCAGTGCTGGTTTCTTGGATACTAAGAGCCAGCCTTTATGCTTCTGTGATTTTACTCTTTAAGTAAACTTTTCTTACTTTTTCCTCTGGCCTGGTTCCTCCTGACATTGATCACCTAAACTTCCAAGATGGTATCAAAATTCAGGTGGGATATAGTCAAGGTCATGCTTTGGCTCTTGCGGACTTGTTTCCATTTTCTTCAGCT